ATCTCTTCTCTTTGAGCATGTGCCTTCCACTCGTCTAGCCCCTCATTGTCAAAGTTCATGTTTGGTGTGATGTCCTGCATCTTGTTTAGATGATCTTCTTCCCTATGAGTATGTGTTTTCCATTGGTCTAGCATCTCATTGTTATGTTATTCCAAGACATACTTATTCAATCTCTCACTATGGGACGGGTGATCGACGTTTGGTTGCTGCTACGGGGAGCTGGTTTGATTCGGAGTTCTTCTTGTTTTCTCTCTCTCTATCTCCTTATCTCCCCCTCTCTCTCTCCTTCTCCCTCTCCCCCTTTTCCTCCTTCCCGCTCTAGACCCCTCTTTCACCCCCTCTTTTATCACCTCGCCTTCTCTCTCCCTCTCTCCAGTCCCCTCACTTGGCATATGATTAACCCCTTCTCCCCTCACTTGGAAACATTGCCTGGTTATGGACGGTAAAACGAAATCAGACTTCTCTTGGTGGAGAAAGAGGGCAAGGGGAGGATAGCCTGTCCCTTGTGCCACCAAGGAGGCAAAAAAGAAAGAACATTTGAAAAAGTGGGAGAAAGGCGGAATCCGGAAGAGAACATACGTTGAAAGTGAGGTCAGTTTGACTCAACCATTCCTTGACTGCATGGCTATGAGAAGAGAATGGGCTGATTGAGCAACAAGAGGGAACAAAGAGCAGCCCAAGAATTTGAAAAGATAGGCATGTGGGAAGGGCTATGTGTTGACCCCCAACGGGGGATTGTATGGTTCTTCTTGCTTGTGTGGGATTGTGCAGGTGAGTGATGGCTAGAAATGCCTTGAGCGGGATAGGGACGAGAGGAACTGGGCACCAAGAGGGAAAGGGAAGAGGGACAGAGGGGCCATGGGACCCTTGACATAGAGCCAACCCATGGAAATGACTTCTGCGCTTGAAGACTTGGGGTGTAAATGAGAGTGCAATCGTACCAAGGAAAATGTGATGTTGTGTGTGCATGCATATGAGGACCCCGAAAAGACTAAGGGGCCTACTTCAATAAGGAAGAAAGCAAATTGTAAGACTCGATGGATGCGTAGAGGCGAGGGAGAGGACGGCTCCGCCGCACCCTGATGACGCCATATAGCCATAATGCTTAGGGATATGGTTCGTGGCCTAAGGATGACGCTTAGCCTACGCACAAGAGAAGAGAAGCATTCAAAGAATCCTTGGACTGCCTGCGCAGTGGAAGGAGCAATTGCATGAGAACACAACAAAGAATAAAAAAAATCAGTATTGAGGAACGAACAGCGAGACTACCACCCGGCGTGAGGGCTGAGCTACATCCCCAATGTCAAAGCTCTCTCGTGCGATGGCCCGCCCCCATCCATCTCAAAGCACTAGGTGGGGGTGACCTCGGGACGAACGGCCCGCGCCCTGAGCATGAGCGTGGGCGGACCGAGCCAGATGGGACTCGCAATGGGGTCGACTAAGGCTCGAAAGTCTAGCGGGGTTTGGCCCTACAAAAATGGTGGAGGTGCCGGGTATGGGGTTGAATTGACCTTTGCGATTCCGATGGGGGCGCCCGACGCATTGAACGTGTACACAACCCAAGATAAGGAAAATGGACTTGTATCTGCTCTTTCCCCTGTGAGAAATCATATTTGAGAGTGGGTGCGGGGCATGGCATGGCCAGGCCTGGAGGTATAACATGCATGCTATGCACTTGATCAGCCTTTCCTTTGAGGAATGACTCTAGCCCTTCTTCGGCCGGTGCTGGTGTTCGCCAGTCCGGGGAAGCCTTGGGCAAGTCGCAGGTCGACCCTTCCTCTTCGTATGAAAGAAGGGCTCCGGTTACCTGGCAGGCGGTTGGTTCTTGGCTTAGGTCAGGTTCCAATGAAAATCCCATGGCGGAGTGATCCGACCGAATGGGTGCTTTCCCCTTCTTCTTTGAGCCCAGCGGGCTCATGCACTTTGCACTTTTTTAATGATTGAAGGAACCAATATGAACACAACGGGTCATCAAGAAAGAACAATCCCGCCCTATGAAAGGACAGACAAATGAAGAAAAGGGAAATGAAGGGAGTTGCTAGACTCCAAGGAAAACTAGCTCACCCTTGAAGATTCTCATGAAAAGGAACCAACCACTATGTATGAAAGTAGGGGGAGCGACACCCATTGTCCTGAGAGAAAATTTGTGAATTATGGGTAGGAAGCGCTGGGTGCACCAAGGGAATGACACTTGTACTATGTGTGTCCCACTTGGGACTTGTGTTTGCATGATGGGATTCGAGCGTCCTGCCTTTCGGAAGGAAAGGATTGGTCTGCACCGGTTAGTGCGGGTTGAGAAACGTCGTTCTCTTTTGTAGGCTGTCGTGTGTTCGTATGTGGAGGTCAGGCCACCGAGCTGTCGGACGGGAGTTTGTCACGTCGGTTGATTAGTAGCATTCTCGTTCGAGCGGTAACGGGCTTCGGCTCGATAATCTGCCGGACGGGGTGTGAAATCTCCTCAGGCGAGGCTTAGCCTGTTGGCTGGTGGAGGGAGTACCACTGCATGCGGACAAAGACGGAGCCTCGAAGGCGATTAGTAGCTTCTCGTAGCATGGTTTTGGGAAAGGTTGATTCTTGTCGGACCGATGGAAGTGAATGCCCGGACGGCTGACTTTGTCCCTGTATTTAGGCACTCGAGGTAACCCTCGGTGTCGGTATGGATGTGCAAAGCGGCAAGACGGGATGGGGTATTCTGGATAAGGAGGAAAGGGCGAATGCCTTGCCGAGACCTGGGTACCACGCTCGCGACGGTTGAGCTGTGCTTGAGGTATGGGATAAAACTCTACCGATAGTACCAACGGAGAGACCATATTGGGATGGCCGGTAAGGAGATGACCGGCCCGTATGTGAGGTTGCCTGATTTTTTTATGTGTTCCCCCTCTGTAAAATTTGATTGAGCTTGGATTGTTGGACGGGACATATTTCTAAGTCTATCCGCCCCGGCCATCTAAGTCTTGAGTGAGAGATGATCGGAAGGAAGGAGGATAGAGGTCAATTGGAATGGAACCAAGAGAAAGAATGTGGGCAAATGGATGGTCGACCGAGGGAATTATAGGAAGGGGTTACTTAGGAATGGGGAGGTAAAGTAGGGAGACCTTGATGAGGGGTCTGAAATAATTCTCATCTAGGACAAGAGTTGACCTGACCAAAAGGATCGGTTGGTGCCTTTTGATGAAAACAGGGGTTGGGTGTTGAAAACAAGATGGCGCTATGGTTGCCTTCCCCGATCTATACTAGCGGCCCGTAAATGCCAGTAGTTGTAAAGGATGGGGTATCGATCGTCCTCCCGGAAAATGGGACGTGGGCGGACCTTGAACCAGCGTATCAAACGGTAATGCTGGAAGGAGAGGATACTTTCCTTTGGATAGAAACAATATGGCCTAATGTCAACTTGACGAGGTTGTCACCAAGTTTAATGGATTTGGAATTCTGAGGGACAGTGGAAGCTCGGGGGTGGGTCTACTTGTCTCAAGATGGGGAGAAAGCTATGATCATAGAATAATTGTTTAGGAAGGCAGAAGTAGAGGTTGTGTGGGCTGCATGTCAACGGAGGGAAATGGAAATGGAAAGGGTAGACGTACAGGTGGAACTTAGAGATATAGGAAGCATGAGGCGACCCGTAAGAATCATGCGATGTGTGCTGCCCCCCTTCCTAGTGAATGTGGTTTTCGGAACCCGGAGCAGGCTAGTACGGATATGCCAGTCCATGACGAACCTCGGGCTATACCAATGCGCTAGGCAAGATATTTTTCGGTTATCAGTAGAGATGGGGCCGTTCAAGGGGAAGTGGGCGAGGGAGCTGGCCGAGATACTAAACTGCCTTAGCATAGACAATATCTTTGTCCCTAGCGCTGTGCATTGGGGGATAGTCTACAGGAATGTGGCAATAGGGGAGACATTTCTAGATGGGGTAAGGGAGTTGGTGTACGAGGAGGAGGACGACTTCAGTGATGAAGATGAAGGTGAAGAGATAGAGGACTGGGACTTCTAAGAGGGGTGGGGTGACTTAACTTAGGAAGGGCGGGTGGCCTGGTAATGGTAGGAAAGGGAAAGATGACTAGAGAAGAAAGGACGTTGGAATACACCTTCAAAGGCTGGGAACCACGGCGACTTAGAGGAGGAATAGAAATGCATATACCAACAGGGAATGGATGGAGGAGGACCACGTGCGACTGGATCGGGTTTGAGGTTGCCCGGGACTTGTCATATGTATGGATAGAGCGGATTTGGAAGCCAGTAAGGGAAGAGGAAGGTTGGGATGATATAGCAGAAGGCAAGGTAGAGTCAGTCGGAACGATTGTGCTTTCAGAGGATGGATGGCACCTGTTTTGCACCATGGATTCTAGGGGATGCAGAGGCCCGAACCCGAAAGGAAGGCAAGCGGTTCGCCAACGAGGGATGGGACGAAGTTAGTAGCAGAGTTGTGATGGGAGGATGGAAGGAACTTAAGCCTCCAAGTCTACGGATAACGGCTTGGGTACCGGAGTTCATAGCCGAGTGGTTTGGGGGGTTTGAACACATTTTAGAAGTAGCCGACTCCATGAGAAAGGTGCATATAGAGTGTGCTTGACTGACTGAGGAGTTTTATAGGCTCTCGTTGAAATATGGGCCCTTCTACGGAGATAAAGCCTAGGAAGTCATCACGGTCCTAAGAATAGGCAGGTATGACCGCCTAGAGGTAGAGGCGGAGTCTTGGGACGCCATAGTTAGCCGGGAGGCGGCGGCCGCACCCTCCTACGTAGACGATGTCTTTAAACTATTCGAGGTACTGTGGTTCGACTGAATGAGGCCAAGGGATCGAACACCGCGAAAAGGCCTAAGCATGGAGGGTGTTTGTGAATTGAGGGTAACATAAGAAAGCGAGTGTGTACATTAGGCCATAGATGGTGCATAAGGATCGAAACAAGGGGGAAGTGGCAGCAACCGAAAAATGGGGAGGGGTAGAATTGAACGTGTATGAGTTGGGGATAGCGGCAAGAACCAGTGTACGATAAGTGGGGAGGGCTGATAGACTTAAACACGAAAGGCATGGAATCACGGTGGGTGCAGCAATCGGACTAAGAAAGCAGGAAAGGAGACATTGCAAGATGGCCCGACGAATGACGTTCTGGGAGGACGGACCTCGTGGGATCCTGCCACCGAGAATATCAGAAGGCAGGGTCGAAATAAGCCTGCCAGCAAGAAATGCGGTAAGCAATCCGGTAATGGACTGGGTGGGGGTAGAGTTGGTGGAGGACACGGTGTACCTAGTAGTGGAGCTGGAATGGCGTGCGAGAGAGGAGTTCGGGGGCGTAAATCTGAACCTCCCAGGGCGAGTGCATGCGACGGGATCCTTACACCTGTCGGAAGAAGGGTGGCGGACCGTTGGTATTGCCTTGGCCTCCGGGGATGACCCCGTGCGAATGTTCGAAGGGGCATGGCAAATAACCTGGCGGGAGGGGTTTGAGTTTGCAGACCCGGAACGAGATGACGTGACGGCAGAGGTAAGAGTTGCCGCGGCAGGATCTTCGAGCTGCCCAATGAGGTCGTACGGATGAGTCTACCGCCCTTTCTGCTGAGGCTAATGGGAGGCATAGAGCGATTGGAGCAGGCGGTAACTGTCGTAACTAGGCTAAATTTTGACGAAGCGTTAATGTATCGAGAATACTATCGGGCCTTCCTAGAGATGGGGCCTTTCGGGGACGAACAGGGGCGAGAGGTGCTTTGCATTCTACAAGCAGTAGTAAATACTAGGCCGGGAGTCCCAGAAATACGTGATGAGGCCATGTGGGGAATCATCCGGCGGGAGGTAGGTCGGGGCGCGACCTACATAGATGACCTCTACCGGCTGTACAAGCTGCCAGAGGGAGCTACTACTCCCAGGGGTATGGAGGGATAGTTGGGACTAGAAAACAGGAATGAAAATACGAAGGACAAGGAGGGCAGTAGGTGGGCGGTTTCTGGGGATTGGCTGTAACCCTTTCTATGTGGACTATGCAGGGAATCACCAAGGCAACGATGGCAGCAAGACGTGAGCGAATGGAACGCCAGCCCCGTGTGCGAATGGAACGCCAGCCCCGGTACCCCGGACCGCCTTGGAATAACGGTGGACGATGGGAAATATCCCTCCCGTCGAGTTCTACCTATCGGGGATTCGACATAGAATGGCGGGCCGTGACTTTGGGACGGGACGCCGCCTTCATGTTGGTAGAATGTCGGTGGACAGGGATGAGACTCAATCGAGGACCCGGGGACGATCTGTATTCCAATCTGGAAGTTATCGGGACCATGTATCTGCCTGAGATCGGCTGGCACTCGTTGGGGGTAGAAATAGCACAAGGTCATGAGCTGGCACCGGTCTTTCGAAGGACCGTCCGAACGTTGACCCGGATAGGACAATCAGTCAGGGGTAGAAGGAACGTGGGCTTACTTACCCGGATGGAAATGGGAGGTTGGAGGGAGTTCAGGGCACCGACCACGCCGCTGGGATGCTGAGTGCCCCGTTTTATGATAGACCTCGTCTTTGGAAGCCTCGCAAGGGTTCAGGAGCTGGCAGACTCAGCGATAGTCTGGGCAGGCCACTTTCCCTCCCCTACCATTGGGATGTTCTACGATGTCGCTGTGGAGCATGGGCCGTTCTGGGGAAACAGGGCCCACGAGTTACTGGAAGTCATCCACATCCTGATGTTTAGGGCGCCACGGCTAGAGTGGGCGGGATGCGAACGCATAATCAGGAGGGAAATTGAGATAGGAGAGAGTTATTTAGCAGGGGTGGCTGAACTATTCGAGGAGGCGACCGAACCAGAAGAGCCGCGAGGGCGAGAGTGGGACTAGCATCCGCAGGCGGGTCGATAGGGCAGATCGAGTATAGTTCGCTGCGTACGGAAGTTCGCCGATGGGAATAAGAAAGGGGCCTCGGACCTGAATGGCTAAAACCCACTAGAAAAACAAAGAAGGGGGCAGACTCCTAATGATTGACCATAACCTTGAAGGTCAAAAATAGGAAACGCTGCTCGGGAAGACTTCCCCTAGCAGGATGCCTAACCCGGACTCCCTCGCATCGGCCGACGGGACAAGGGCACTACAAACAAGCTTGTGATAAAGGAAGCCGGCAGGGCCAGTCATGGCTCCTCCTTAAGGAACGACAATCAGGAAACGGGGATAGGAAAGGGGGCTATAAAGATAAGCCAACAGAGCTGGGAGCCTAGGGAACCTAAATACCTCGCATTGCGTGTGTCCTGGGAATTCTTTGGCTTGTGTAGAACTAGGCAAAATGGCAACGGAGGAGGAGACAGATAACCGTAAGAGTGAAGGAGAACCAGGCTTAGGGGGCAGTGCCGCACAAAGCGAAGGGGGGCAGAAGGACAGAGAATCGATAAATCCGGATGGTACCAAAGGAAACCGGAAGGAAATCTCCACAGGAGAAAGGTCGGGGAAAGCCGGGGGAAGCAGGCAAGGGACTCAGGAGACCAAAGAGGGCGGAAATAAGGATAGGACAAGCCCCCGAAACTCGGAAGGAGCCGTGCTTAAAACACGGATGCAAGGCGCAAACTAGCCGAGATAGAAAAGACGACGGCGGAATACAAGGCAAGATTGATTGAGGAAATGATGACTGGGAACGAAGAAGGCCCTCTGCAGGAGGAACCCCGGGATGAACGGAAAGCCAGCCGAGGTGGGACTGGAATAGGGGATAAAGGTAGTGACCGTGGGGGAACGCCGAGCATGAGAAGGAAAGAGAGAGAGAACTCTCCGGGGATGGAAGCAGAAAAGGCTACGACTCCGCCAACCATGGATAGTAGGGCTAGCCGCCTGCGGACCCCGCCAGCAGTAGCCCGAGGATGCGAAGGACTTTGGAGCCTTAAGGAAAGAGTGTTGGGATGGTTTGACCCGGAAGGAACTATGAAAACCAGGGAGGGACAGAAGGCCGGCAAGGAAGGTCCGAATAACAGTATGGCAGGCGAGGCGAGCAGCTCCGAGGGCGGCCTTAAGAAGATAGTGTCGTCCCTCGCGCGAGCACTAAACAAAAATCAAGGCTACCTAGCGGATGCTAAGAAAAAGTTGACGTTTGATGGGGCGAACATCACGGAATTCCTGATAGATTACGAGAATCTGGCTGCGTTGTTGAAATGGGCCCAAGAAGAGCAGATGGACCACCTGGGGCAGCATGTGTCTTTGAGCCTATGGCGGGACATAATGGCCATTGTGGCCGCGAGCCGGTCTTGGAAAGAAGCCCGAGATGTGATGATGAGAAAATATCTGGCAGCATAGAAGATGGCAACGGAGGCCGATTTAGCGGCAGTCCAGAGGAAGAACTTCGCAACGTACAATGACTTTCTACGGGAGTTTACTTCGGTAGCACTAAGAATCCCCGGCGTCACGGACGGAATAATGAGTAAATACTTCCTTAGACAGTTCTCCGAGTTCGACAAGGATAAGATTCTGTCGGCTTACCAACAGACGAGCAAATTTGTAAACACTAGGGACGTTGATTTCAGTACGGTAACGGATCTGGCCGAAAAGACGGTAGTAACGGAGACATTGGCCTTGCTTAAGGAAGGGGAGGTCATAGATCTGACCGGTAGAGCAGGCGACAAGGTAAAGAAGGGGATTGAAAGTCTACATGAGCGGGTGCACGGGGTCGACAACAAAATTGAAAGAATGGAAGGCTCGCTACTAGTTATGCAGGCGCAAGTATCCCGACCCGCCCTCCCTCCCTAGAAAGTTGTGGTTCTGCCAGGAGTAGCCAACCGGGGATTAGGACGGAGAGATTCTGCTAACGAGCAATGCAAGTACTGTACCGCGATGGGACATTATGTGCGTGCATGCCCAAAGCTCAACCATTATATCCTAAAAAGGAGATGCACCAGGTCAATAAAGGGAGAGATATTCGGACCACAGGGAGAGCGGGCGAATTGGAACTCACCAGGAGGAATGTGACGAGTCGTCATCATGCTCAATGGGTTAGAGATAGCGGCCGTAGAAGCTGAGTCAGTGGTCGATATCATTTGGGATCAACTGCGGGGCCGCGGGCCGCATGCCAACTTTATCTTGGAAAACGACGAACGTGATAGGGTGAACGCAACCACTCGACTAGGAACGGTTGGCAGAAGGATTAACCGTGACACCATTATGGAGGAGGTCGTCGGAAGCTCCGAACCCCAGCCAGAACCTGAGGCCGAGGAACCAGAGAAAGTCTACGGGAAGCTTAGGGAAGAGGAGCCTGCAGACAAAGTTACCGCCGCTAAGAAGAAGTTTCGGTATCAAATTTCGATCTTGACCTTGCCTGAGCTCGACGACACCATTAGCAAGTTACTAGGAACCTTGGTGTCAGTGTCTTTTCAGACCATGCTGCAGGCTAGCCCTAGGTTGCTCAAAGGGCTCAGAGAACTGTTGACTCGGCGACGAGTAGAAATAGGCGACAACCCCGAATTACCAGAAGGGGAGAGGGAGGATGAAGCTCCGCAAGAAGTGGCTAACCTTCAGAGGAGTCACGGGGATTTGGAGGATCTCGAAAAAGCCTTTGTAGACATTCGTTTGAGCTTGCCCGACTGAGAGGCCGGCGAAGTCATGAGATCACCACCCGGGACGAAGCTTAGCTTTCATGCGCTGCCTGTAGGGAAACTGAAAATCCAGATCGGGAGTCATCATACCGACGCATTAGTAGACGGGGGAGCAGAAATCACTCTCATAAGAAGAGATTTCGCAACGATCACGGGATGTATGGTAAACAAGGAAGTAACAGGGAGCATCCGGGGAGCTGGCGGGGAAATCCCGTTCGTTGGGTACGTCACGAAGTGTGCTGTAAAGGCAGAAGTCAGAGAATCGATGTGGTCGTTTCAGCGGATGACTGTAATGGAGGAAATGGACCACGACATAATCCTCGGGAGACCGTGGTGCGCGAACGTGGAGATGATAGGCATGCACTTGCACGATGGTTCATACATGGTAGACATAGAGGATCCAGTGACCGGCCGGGGAGAGCTCCTTCGACTCCTTGGAACGGGAGAAGATCCCCCGAAGGGGAAACTGGCAAGATGGTCGCCATCGTTCGAGGATAGTACGCGAAAAGGGGCTTTCGCACGAATGGAGGGTATGAGAGAAAGGGTAGAAATCATGATTGAGGAAGCATTCAACAAGAAGAAGTGGATCAAGATGGGCCTGCCCTAGAAGAAGAGGAGGCAGGAGGACGAAGCCCCAGGTGTTATGGTAGCGGAAAAGGAGTCAGAGGTCTAAATTGGTGCTAGCCTGCCCAAACGGAAAGAAGTACGCATAGACGTGCCAGTAGTCGCGCTCGAGATCCCCGATCTGTTACAACTCGTCAAGGCTCTCAGATGCCAAAAGGTAGGAGTGGACTCAGTGGCCTTGGCCAAGTTCAAAGGGGAGGGGCAAAAGGGATATTGCCTGAATAGGAAACTAGTTAGTATTCAACCACGAGTCGTAGAGGCGACGGGGGCGATTCCGACTGTTCATTTTTAGGAGAAAGATCACAGAAGGAAGTGTTCGAAAGTACAAGATGGTAGGGAAGAAAGCAAAACCGGTCTCAATCCTACTGGAGACATCAAAGGAAGAGGCTATGGAGAAGGAGGAAGAGGTCCTTCCAGTGATCCGAGAAAGAAGGGCGACGGAGGGACATCGGATACCAGATGAGGTAGCTGACACAATGAAGATAGGGATAGACGGGTCCTTAACGGAAGAAGAAACCTGCCTGATCAAAAGGACCTGCCAGGAGTTTCACCTGGCATTTGCCTTTAGTGATCACCAGAAGGGACGGCTGGATGCGAAGTTGATCCCTCCGGTCAGAATCCACACGATAGAACATGAGTGCTGGAATGACAAGGGGCTATCCTATGAATTTAGGATAGCAGGAGAGGTAACAGACCTCCTCCGAGCAAAGATGGACTCCTTCGATGAGGAGCCTACGGCGTCGCCATACTCAAACCGATGGTTCGTCTTTCGAAAGCCTAACAAGACACTAAGGTGGATTCATGATCTGCAGAAGTTGAATGCGGTAACCATTCGGGATGCTGGCTCGCTACCTCAGGCTGACTTATTAGCAGAATCGCACGTCGGTCGGAGCATTTACTCCCTGATAGATCTGTACTCAGGGTACGACCAGCTTCCGTTGGTTGTTCGGGACAGGCCATACACCGCTATGCTCACCCCCGTAGGCCAACTACAGATGCAAGTGACCCCTATGGGATTCACAAACGCGGTGCCCGAAGCACAACGCAGGATGCTCGCCATGGCCGGGGACATGTTCCCAGAAAAATGTGAGCCTTACATCGATGACAATCCGATCAAAGGCGCGCAGGAGAAGGACGAGACGGAAGTCTAGCCGGGGATCCGACGTTTTGTGTGGGACCACCTGCAGGACATCAAGGACTTACTCCGCCGGTTCCTAGTATACAACATTACGGCTAGTGAACCAAAGAGTATCCTAGCAATACCGGAGGTAACTATACTAGGATTTCGTTGCGGTGCTTACGGCAGGAAGCCGGATCCGGAAAAGACCGACAAGATATCACAGTGGCCGACACCGCTACGCACGACGACGGAGGTAAGGGCGTTTCTAGGCGTAGTCGGCTTTTGGAGGATCTTCATTAAGAACTTTGCCAAGATTGCTGAGCCTATCCGGGCTATGATCAGGGAAGAAGGAACCATTGATTGGACGGAGGAGCGAGAGGGAGCTGTCCAGACCCTCAAGGGCATTCTGACGTCGGAGCAGGTCGCTTTGTCGGCCCCCTGCTTTAATGATGAGGTAGGACGACCATTCATCCTGGAAACAGATGGAGGGCCCTTGGCCGTAGGAGGCGTACTGATTCAAAGGGACGAGGGAGGAAAAGAGAGGCCAATTAGGTTCGAAAGTAGAACCCTGAACTCCGCAGAACGGCTGTACTCGCAATTCAAGAAGGAAGTCCTAGTCATCCTGCATTGCCTTAAGACCTTCCAGGCCTACCTATTTGGGAGGCGATTCATCTTAAGGATCGATCCGACGAATGTCGCAGGGGCTCTAAAGAAGTACAGGCCTATAGATCCGACGGTGGGGAGATGGGTAGGATTCATCTGGCAGTTCGATTATAAGATCGAACGGATTGCGGGGATTAGGAACAAGGTTGATGGGCTCAGCCGGGTCTGCATCACTCCCGAAGGGGTGGAGGATGCGGAGCCCATAGACGCGTTCCTCGAATACGAAGGAGGAACTCTTGCGCTGGATAATGAAAGGATGAGCGAAGGATGCACGTCGGGAGAACTATTGATCCAGACTTTGGAGAAGGGGGCACCTGCCGTAGTAGCAGAACTTAGAGAAGGATCAGTCACCACTCGAGGA